TCAGCAGCAGAGGGCAGCTGCCCCTTTCTTTGATGGTTGCAGCGAGGTTTGAAGACTTGAGACATTTGGTCAATTTGCTGCTGAGATGAAGTGAACTAGCGAGGTCTAGAAACTAGTAAATTTGAGTTTGCCTAGGACTCCCCCAGGTAAAGGGGCTGCGAGTGGCTCAAGGGGTTAAGACGCTGAACTGCAGACTGGAAGGTCGGTAGTTCAGCAGTTTGAGACCCGAGTGCCGCATGACGGAGTGAGCTCCTGTCTCCGGTCCCAGCTCCTGCCAACCTAGCAGTTTGAAAGCAAGAAATTGCAAGTAGATAAATAGGTGCTGCTTGGGTGGGAAGGCAACAGCGTTCCGTGTGCCTTGCCGTCTAGTCATGCCAGCCACATGACCACGGAGAAGTCTTTGGACAGCGCTGGCTCTTCGGCTTGGAAATGGAGATGAGCACCACATCCCTAGAGTCGGATTCGACTGGCTTTCGAGCAAGGGAAACCTTTACCTTTACCTAGGACTCCCCAAGTTCCCTTCTGGTCTGATCAGGGTGGCCAGTAGACTTTTGTCAGATGTAAGTGGAAGCTTTTAAAGGGTTCCCCCTTATTTCAGAACACTGCCATTCCTCTGAACTGCCCACAGCAGACATTCAGTCTCTGTTATCAGTGTTGCCGGGTGGAAGCGGCTGGGGTGTGACGGTAAGAGGGGAGATGCCCGTTCTCACATTCGCCCTGCTGTATCCGCTCAGGTATAAACCCACGCGTGAAGTCGGGGCGTTTTATGAAAATCCTTCCCGACTACGAGCACATGGAATACAGAGATGTGTACACCTGCCGTATGTACCTTCTGTGAATGCTTTCTGCCCTGCACACGCACAAGAGCCTGCATGGAGTGTGTTCCCGACCACTGAACTGGCAAGCAGAGTTTTCCCGCCCCACTCAGGGTGCCGAATGTCATTGTCTCAGCATCTGGGTCACGTTAGAGGGAATCGGCCACCGCCGAGTAACAGTTCTGTTTACCCCTTTCTCAGGTCCTCTTGAGTCTTTCTTGTGCCAGGAGTTGGGAGTGTGAGTTGCTGGGAAACCCAAGAAGCTAGGGGTAGCTGTAGATCTCTGGAGCTGTAAGTCTGGAATTAGGCAAAGGGCGTTGAGAGTTTCACACCTACACCCTAGGAAGACCAAGTCCTGGAGAGGTTCCACATCCACAAGCAAATGATTGCTTGGACAAAAGGTACTGTGGAAAAGTCTAGGCCTGAGGGAAGCATCAACGAGCACGGAGAAAGGAGGGCTTTGAGCTGTTGGCTGGCACTGGGGTCCTTACAGAGTGTCCTTGCTCCCTCCAGAGGGAGCTTCAAAGGGCTGTGGAGCCAGGGGCATTGGGTGTGTGTGCGAGAACAGCAGAGGAAGGTCTGGGGGAGCAAGAAGAGGGCAACCAGGAGGGTGAGAGGGTTTGAATCCAAGAGGAATTTCACATGACCCGGTTCTCCCAGATTAGAGTCCGCACACTTAACCACTACACCACTACTGTGGAAAAGTCTAGGCCTGAGGGAAGCATCACCGAGCATGGAGAAAGGAGGGCTTTGAGCTGTTGGCTGGTGCTGGGGTCCTTACAGAGTGTCCTTGCTCCCTCCAGAGGGAGCTTCAAAGGGCGGTGGAGCCAGGGGCATATGC